TAACATCTACTTAAAAATTTAAAAGAATTGCTGGGCGGTGGTAGTGTACACCTTTAATGCCAGCACTTGGGAGGCAGAGACAGGGCAGATCTCCATGAGTTCGAGGTCAGCGTGGGCTACAGAGTGAGTTCCAGAAGAGGTGCAAAGCTACACAGAGAAACCCTGTCTGGAAAAACCAAATTAATTAATTAAAGAATATATATAGCAATTATACTTGTGTATGCAGCAAACCAGATAACCCAATTTTATGAGAGAAACAAACTTTAAAGCCAGACTGTGGTGGTCACTTTTGCCAACTTGACATAATCTAGAACCACCTAGGAAGAGTCTCAATGGGGACCAGGAATGGTTGGCTGATGGTTACCCTGGTAAGGGATTTTCTTAGTTGGTTAATAGGGGTAGGAAACCACCATGAATGTGAGTGGCACCGTTTCATGGACTGAATCCTGAACAAAGGGGGAACCAGTCTGAGCACTAGGTGATCATCGTTCCTCTCTCTGCCCTGACTGTGGATGTGATATGTCAGCTGTTAGAAGTCCCTGCCTTGACTTCCCTATAATGACAAACTACAACCAGAATTGGGAACTAAAATAAACCCTTTCCCCCTATGTGGCTTTTGTCATGTATTTTATCAGAGCAATTGTCAATGAGACTAAGACATGGAGACAGGTTCAAATCAATCATAGTAGGGGATGCCACTTTCTTCAGAGAACAGAGATCCAGACAAGAAATCAACACAGGAAACCTACAGATAAACTGGGGGCAGGGGAGAGACCAATGGTTTTGACATGATTTATAGATTGTTTCAACTAATAGCTTCACAAAGCACTTCTCATCACACCTAAGACAGGGTAGATCATAAGATGTGCCAAAAGTGAAGACTCTCAAACTCTAAAACTGAAAATCCTTCCTTGTCTATTCACTAAACACAACACAACAAAGCTAGATATACTTCAGTGTTAGAATGTGTACAAGTAATGTACAAGGCTATAAGGTTTATCCTATCTTTAAAACAAACAAAGAAACAAAACTTCTAACACATGTAGAATAGTTTGAAGACAATATTGACAAGAAAGCTCACAGCAAGCAATCCCAACAAACAACCTAATGGTATAACTCAAGGAACTAGAAAATAAAAGAACAAACCAAATGTACAACTAGTAGAAAAAAACACGTAATAAAGAATCAAACAGAAATAAATAAAATGAAGACTAAAGTAGTTATCAGTGAAATATACTGGCATTTTAAGTTTAAAAAATTTATTAGTCTATAACTAACTTAACCAAGAAAATAATACGGAAAAATCTCAAACGTATAAAATCAGAGAAGATTCAAAGGATGTAACTTCTACTACATAAAAACAGGAGAGCCTTATGAAATATTTCTACAACTATACTACAGATGATCTATGCATACATAAAATCCACTAAAAGTGGACAGGCTGAGACTGAAGGACAATAAAATATCAAGCAACAAAGAAAAGCCCAGAGCTGGGCTGTTTTCCTAAACAATTTTTAAAAAGAATTCAAAACCAATTTTTCTCAATGTTTCTAAAATAGACAAATGCAATGTCTTCACTGGGGGAAAATTTAAAAATTAAATATATAAGACACGTACCACAACACAATAAGGGACCTGTATGACAGTCCCACAGCCTCCAGCATCCTGAACAGAGCAAGGATAAAATCATTTCCAATAGCAGAAATAAGTCAGAGATGGTGACTTTTACCTCTTGCCAGATGTATGACTGAGTATTAAGGCAAAGCAAAAGTGAAAAAGAAACAAATAAAGACATCAAGGTCAAAAGGGAAGAGGCCACAGGTCTCATGTACAGACATGATTTCCAATGATAAAATTTCCAAACACTCCACCAAAGCACCTTCAGAACTAAGACAACAATTCAGTAAAGTAGCAGGAAATTAATATTCAATATTCGGAAATTAATATCTGTTTATACAGCTATAACAAAGACACCAAGAATGGCATGAATCAAGCAAGTCAATTACAATAGTTAGGAAATAAAATACCTAACAATAAATTAAATCAAGGATATCAATGATCACTATGATAAAATTGTTAAATACTCATGGAAAAATGAAACAGACAATAGAAATAATCCCACAAAACTCAATTAAAACAACAGGTGAAACAGAACTGCATTCAGCTAAGAATCTCTCCATAGCCAGGGAACAGTCAGCAGAATGAAAAGACAAGACACAGAACAAAGCAATATCCAATCTATTCTCCTAGTAAATGAAATAATCTAATATTTAAAACGAGCATAGACTTTCTATCACCTGCCACAAAGAACCCACAGATGAACAACATATAAATGGAAAAACATGCAACATCATGAATCATCATGGAAATACAAGCCAAAACAATTTTATATCATTAAACTCACATAGAGTGACTATTATCAAAAACATTAAAAATATAGGGACTGGTTAGGATGTGAATGTGGAGAACTCTCAGATGATGGTGGGAATTAAAATTAGTAGAGCCACACGGAAAACAGAGAGGAACTTCCTAAGAAGATAAATACTCAGTGACATCACTATGGTTTGTCAATTTGTAGGAACAAAAATTGGCATGTGGAAGAGATATCACATGTTTATCTCAGCAAAATTTATAGTAGCCAGCATATAGCCAACCTAGGAATCCCTTGAAGAATGGCTATGTAAACAAAATGTTATATATATATTCTTTATGATTGGTGGCTCATCCACTCACTGAAAAGACTGAAATTCTGCCATTTGATGCTGCATGCACAGAACTAAGGACAGTAAAATAAGTCAGCCACTGAAAGACAAAGAATATAAGTTGATCTACATGAGAAAGATGAACAGTAGATCAAACAGCAGGATAGAATCATAGAGCAGGTACCAGTGCCAAGAAGGGAGGACTGGGGAAGTGAGAATGAATGGCTAAAGATGCAAGGAATAGCTATACAGAGGAATGACTTTAATATTCACTAGAACGATAGGACAGACATAGTTGACGACAACCAGTGGAAGACTTCAAAATACCCAGTGGATAAGATGTTAAATGTTCTCAGCAAAGAAGATGTATTTGAGCTGACAGATATGCCACTTACCCATTATAACTGACCAATGCTCATTATAACATGAATTGCCACATCAGACTGGCAATTAAATATAGATACTAAGCACATGTTAATTAAACACATAAGTACTTTACAGAATACACCTCTTAAAAGAAGAAATCACACTAGACCTACATAGAGGGGAGCAGGCCTAAATTCAGCCTCTCAGGACATGGTCTTAGAAGATGACAACCCCACCCAAAGCAGCCTGCAGATGCAATGCAATCCCTACTAAACCCCAAGCAAGTGCTTGGAAAGTTAGAAAGTCAATCCTAGCATTCTTGTAGAGATGAGGATTCCCAAAGACCCACAACCATATAAGCAGCTAGACACTCACATCCTCATTTCAAAACTTACAGCACAGCAAAGCTATATGAACCAAAACACTGTGGTATGGCATGAAGTTAGACACTAAGATCAATGGAATCAAACTAAGATGCAGATATCATCTCACACGTATACGGTCTCTAAGTTTCTGGAAAGGGGGCGGTGGCTACCCTTGTAGGAAGAATAATGACTCAAAGTGCTGGAGAAACAGCACATCCACACGGGTTCCATGAACTAGTACTCCATACATCAGAAACCAATGTGAACTCAAGACCCAACATAGTCCTGGACACAGTGCTGAAGGACAACTGTCTTAACAGAAAGCAGGAGGTGATGCTGCAGAACTCTGGACCTGCAAAGTCAAGCTTTAGTTGTGACACCAAAGCACAAGCACAAGGCAGAAAACTGGTTGGAATGAAGTGAACTATATATACAAAAGAACCACATCACCAGGGGAAACAATGTACACGGTAGGTCTGTGAAGCATGTGTTACCAAGGTCTGCCATACAAAATATGCCAAACCATCAATACTATTTTGCAAACATCTACTCCCGTTCTGAAATCTGTGACAGAGCTGAGCAGTAGTTTCCATAAGGTGTCCAAAGGTGAACAAACATGAAAGGTTTGAGGAGATGACTGGGAGGTCAGAAACCCTCTAGGACAGAAAATGCTCACTCTGAGCTGGCTGTTCAGTTGTCCATGATGACCACAGTCCATCAACCAGACCCCAGAATTAACCAGCCCTATACCAACCCTATCTCACCAGGCTGTCATCTGACTCACTGTTCTTGGAGGAGGTGAATAGAACATTCTGGCAATGGCCACAATAGTCCCATGCTCCCTCAGACAGTGGGACAACAGCAGCTCAATGACAAAACAGTGGAGGGGCCTCTCTACACAAGCCAAGGTAGGAACTTCAGGATGTGAACATGGCCACCCCAAAGCCCAGTTCCCAGAAAAGCAGGCAAGCCATGAGAAGACTGAGTTCAGCATGACAGATGGAGCGCTCACACCCCATTAGTTGGCCTTCATATACTCTTGACACTGAAAGGGGGACTGAAGTCAGGCAGGCTCCATGGAGGCTGCTGAGATGAAGTGACCTGCTGGCTGATATCCAGTTCCTGAACGGGAATGATGTAGAAGGATGTGGGGCAATCTGGCCAGCCCTGACATAGAGACCAACAGGACAAGTACTGGGGTCTCCAGACAAGAACCCCTCCTCTTGCCTTCCTTCAAATCACGGATGGACTCCACACAGATTCTGACCATAACATTCTCCTTTTACTTCAAATGGAGTTTCAGTAGGCAGGGTAGATGGGCACTGACCTAACAGCCCCTTAACTCCAAGGTTCAGACTGGAAAGAAATCCTGGCCAGAACAGTACCAGCTACACATTTGCCTACCAGGGATATCCCAGTGGCTCCCCATAGCAATGTGGAATAGTATCAACCATGATGTAGCAAAGATTCTATGGACCTTGTACTGTGGAGCAGATGCCTGATCCCCTTTCTTCATATACAGACACCCACTATCCACACTAACGTGCTCTTCATAGGGCATTCCTACCTGTGCACACCACCTCGGTGGGGGATAGAACGTCACACTGCTCTGCAAAGTTCACATTGATCTTGCAGTGGAAAGTGTCAGGCTCTGTTCCTTGGCAAGACAAGAATTTCTGTTCTTGACTTCCAGTCCCTGCTCCATGATGAGCTCTGGACCACTGCAGCGCGGTGCCACACTCCAGGTATCTGCACAGGACACTTGCCTCTTTCTTCTGCAGGTCGCACTCCAGGATTGGGAAAGACCTGCTCAACAACTCAGGAGACCCGGCACACGGACTGGCACCTCTGGCCAGCCTGACTTGCTGAAAGTTACTACCTGGTGGCACAGAAGAAAAACCCATTCCTAGAAGCCACTGCCAAGAGTACATGATCAGGGTCTGCGGACTGACCGTTTTCATCTGAAGCAATGTGCACAGGATCCCTGGTGGTGTCGCCAACCTTTACTACTACCCTGGAATAACAGGCAAACAGAGCCCATCCTCCCAGAATGCTATCACGGACTGGGTGTGCTCAGGAGAGACAGCAGCTCACAGGAGAGCTTGGGACGGGCCTCGTTCCTCACAAACGGATCTGTTGAGTCTTCCTGGCTTGAGCTGTGCCTGGTGCACAATGACAGTGTATAGGGACCCCAAGGTGTTCCCTGAGATGAACTAAGTACAGCAATGATATTCAGAGCTGATGGCTGACTTTAAAAAATATATAGGAAAAAAATATTGATGAGAGAAACAAAGAGAGGGAGAACTGATATTCTTCAGAACAGAGAAGGAAGCTTCTGCCGTGGTCTCTCACCATGGTACTCTATAGGGGCAAGGTGCTCTCACCTGGCCACACCCCTCCTCCCCTGGACACTTGTCTCAATGCCTCTAGTTCCAAGGTAGGAAAGAAGACTAGGGGAGACTAGGGATTTGAGCAGCCCCCATCTGACTCACCTGAGCACAAAATTGACACTACACACTGGCACTTGCAGTCACTGAGAGGCCCCCAGGCCCCTAGAGAACACTCCCAGAGGGTGGCCTCCTCACCACTGCACTTGGCACCATACAACCAGGGTGCCGTCATCTCTTCAGGCCTCAGAACGTACTGGAAGGTAGAACGTGCATGGCTACAGCCAAGCTGTCTGCAGATCACTGAAGCTTCCTGCATGCCCCAGTGGTCACTACACACAAGGCCTCGCTGCCCACTGTGCTCCACTTCCAGATGGCCATCACACTGGTTTGAACCATCTATGAGATTCAGGGAATCCTCCCCAGTCAGTCCTTCCGGGATAAGACATGAGTTAGATGGAGACGATACTGGGAATTTCATTCAAAATGATCCTTGATTAAAAAACTCATCATCGCTGTCTATCATTTACTCCTTTTCCTAGATTCCCTCACAATGAACAGTCTGACTTATAACAGCATCAAAATGTTTGCTTTAATGAAACCTAAGTTAGTGAAAACAAGCACAAAGAAACGAGGCACCAGACATCACCAGCACTACGCTACTACAGACCTTGGTTGCCAATATTTTGCACACCTATCTCCCTCACACATAGTAAATAGCAGTGTACACTCACCAGAAGGGAGGGCCCAGCAGGTCAGCAGTAGGGGCCACAGACCCAGAGAAGATACTGCCATTCTGGATCCCACTGCAGCATCAGCTCCCCAAACTGATGGTATCAGTTTAGGTACTTGTTCTGCCTCCGGGCAAAAGGTAGGCTCTAAATTACAGTGATGCTGTTCTAGGGTCAGAGCCTATAAGCAGGCTGGGAGCCTCCCCTACATCAGAGCTGTCATCTGTAACCCAAAGAAGGCTTCCACTTGCTGTGACAGAGCCCAGAAAGCACCAGCAGTGTGGAGCTTCCTGCAGCTGGTACCCAGTGCAACCCCAGGTGAGGAGGACAAGAAACAAGCTCTCAATGTCTGTGCCTCGTGAAATCGGGGTCAAGCAGAAGAGTGAGTATCTTTCTCTCTCTCAAACAGAAGATCTGGACAAGGACCAGGATCTTTCCAAGATGTGTTAGTCATTAGTAAATAGACTTAAAATTTTCATTTCATATTTCTCCCTCTCTGGGAGCTTCTCATAGGGCCTCTACCCGTTCACTCGACCAGAGGTCCACAGAAATTCCCACAAATACAGCTGACAAATGAGAGATATTCGTAAATTTTCCAACTCTATGAAAGGAGCTGGAGCCGCTCCCAAAAAGGTGATATGGTGATATGGAGCTTCTGGGTGGGAAAGAATGAGAAGTATGAGAAGGGAAACAAGCAAAAGAAATGAAGGCTGATATCCACTCCCAGGAAGGAGACAGGATCCAGCCATAGTGAAGACAGACAAAAAGCAGGCCCTCTTCTACCTGGGAATCCTCAGTGTACCCTCAGGCATTTGACTGAGCTGCCATATCCTGGTCACCAACTCTCACATTACTTGCCATTGTCCTAACATGAAGTTTAACAGTGCTTAATGAAAATTGGGACCAAGATGCTTGGAAGAACCTGTATGAACCAGGCCCCATGACAGTTTATTATCCCAAACCACAAAAAGGTTCTGTTTTTTACTGTGACACACCATGAGGGTCAATGTTGCAGCTGAATGCCAGGAGAATCTGAACTTCACCAGAACTTCATGCAGGCCCATGCTTATAAGACAACAAATACTAACACCAATGTGCAACTTGGTCCATATGGCACAGCGAGAGGACTCCAGGAAATATACTTCCCAGACAGGATATGATTGTGTTTGGGGAGGAAGGTTTGTGGCAGGAATCTTAGAGAGTCTTTATTAATAAAACAAACCCGGAGCCAAGTATTGGGGTGAACACTGGAAGATCAGAGAGACAGAACAGGCCACAGCCACCTCACCTTGCCAGTTCCTCAGCTTATCCTGTTTTCTAAGGCTGGAAGCCTCTGTGTCCTCATCCCAATGGCTCTCAGCTGAACTGCTGCTTGAAAGCCTGAAGCTTAACCAGCCACATGCTTCTAGTTTCTGGTCTTCACACCTTATATATCTTTCTGCCTTCTACCACCACTCCCTGGGATTAAAGGCTCGCTTTCTGGGATTAAAGGCGTGAGTCACCATGCCTGGCTGTTTCCATTGTGGCCTTGAACTCACAGAGATCCAGAGGGATTTCTGCCTCTGGAATGCTAGATTTAAGGTGTGAGTGCCACCATTTTCTAGCCTTTGTATCTACTGGCTGTTCTGTCTCTGACCCCAGATAAGTTTATTAGGGTGCACAATATTTTGGGGAACACAATACCACCACAAAGGTTGATGTATTTTTCATAGAATTCTCATTCAGTGAGATTACATACAGTAGTCCTTAGTAGGAAGTCTATGGAGAGATGAAAACAGGGTGTGACCATGGGTTGGTCTCATGAGAGCTGTGGTCCAAGAATACTCTGGACATGCAGAATGTGGTCCTGAATAAATATGATCACAATTGATCTGAGAAAGTTTTATCACATTGGCCACCATTAATCTTCCAGTGGGTGCTAGACAAAAGACAAGGTGGATATAAATACTTAAGCCTCCAGTACATTAACAGGCTGCTGAACTTGGAAAAACCATGCCTGGAGGTGACAAGAAGGTCAACACCATGCCTCATCAGGAGTCAGCCTCTCCTCAAAAGAACTGTGAAAAGAAGGATGAGTAGAAAACCCAAAATCCTTGGTCACAAATGAGAACACATGTTCCAGGTTAGGAAGAGAAGAGAGGCCCAGAACAGGGGCCATGGTGGAATCACAACGTTTCTGAAAAGGACTAACAAGGGTAGCCATAAGGAATCAGGTGCTAAAGGGGCTGTGTGCACACCTCAAAAGAACCCCGAGAAAGAGCAAGAACCACTTACTCTGAGGCTATTACCTGTTTAATAAAAGACCCAGTCTAAGGACCAGCCTTGAAAGAAATGAGATACAACCCAGTATACCAGCCTAGATATGTAAGTACTGGTCAGGGACACAGGGGAGTGGCATTTGGGTCTGTAAAATGTAGGCACTGGTCATCACGAAGGCCCTATTGAAAGCAATAAAGCAGGAATAGCGAATGGACCCAGGGAAACAGAGACACACTTTGCAGAATGAGGAGTGCCCAGCCTTCTTCACATCCTTTCCAGTCTGTCTTTGTGCTAGTCTACATTCCCATTGTCTTCTTTACACACCAGGCTCTTGGATTCTGGAGGCCCTTCCTCTCTCTTCGATGAGGACAACTTCAATGTGCTCATGGACACCCTCTGAGGGATGTTGCCCTGACATTCTACAACCTGCAGAGCTCCACATCAGGACTTACAGGACAAACACTGCTGTAAACTCAGCCACTCTTTCTAGCACCTGCAGCTTCCCATGCATGCTGAGACCCAATGTGTAGGGATCAGACACTGAGAGCATAAGTGCCATGTGACCACAGATGTAAGCAACATTTGCAGCATCATGCTCACAGAAGCTGCGTGGACTGTGGTCACCAGGAACTTTGAATTTGCAAGTTGGACTGCAAGGGTCTAGAGAGGGTTTGCCAGTACAATGGGGTGAGAGGTGAAAATTCATGAGCTTTGTGTTACAGCATGGTGACTTTAGTTTACACCAACATATTCTGTCCTTGCACATTAACAAAACAGTAGATTTAAACTGTTCTAACCACAAAAAAATAATAGGCTTATAAGGTAGCACATATATTATGTCCACAATGTATATACATATTAAAACATCATGGTTTTGATAGGAGTGGTGGTACATGCCTACAGCATCACTTGGAATGTGGTGGCAGGATATTCAATAAAGCTCAGGTCTAACCTGGGCTACATGAGACCTTGTCTCAAAAGAACAAGAAAAAAATCATGTTAGACACATTAACTGTATATAATTTTGTTGATCTATTGGAGAAACAATAAAATTTAACACTATTAAATCGAAACAATAACATGTAAGGAAGTTTTAAGACTACAAAGGCAATAATATATTTTTAATTACACTGTCAAAAATCAGCAAGTCCTAAAGCAGCAACAAAGAAGCCATTGTTATCTACTCCAGATTCAAAGGACTGAGAGCCAATGTCTCATCAAAATCATGACAGTAGTAACCAGAAGTAGGGAAATATATTCAAAGTAGTGGGAAAAAATAGTCAAACAATGATTCTTATCTCTGGCAATACTCATCTTCCAAGTAAAGGAGAAACTGAGACTTTCTGGGGCAAATGAAGGCTGGACGAGCTCCTTGTTAGTCCACTGCTTACATTCAACCCTGAAAGAAATCCTCCATGATAACACCAGAGGGTCCTGGGGAGCATCACATCCTCCATGATAACACCACAGGGTCCTGGGGAGCATCACATCCTCCATGATGACATCACAGGGTCCTGGGGAGCATCACATTCTCCATGATAACACCACAGGGTCCTGGGGAGCATCCTGAAGTTGCATGAAGAAAAAAGAACACTGGCATATACATAAAGAAGCATGGATGCTATGATGCTGTGGTTTTGAAATGCAACTGCTTCTCCTACATGATAAAAAAGATAACCCCTAATTAAAAGATATAAAATATGGAGGCTGGAGTGATGGCTCAGAGTACTGGTTGTGCTTCCAGAGGACCCAGGTTCAATTCCCAGCACCCACATGACAGATCACAGCTGTCTATAATTCCAGTTCCAAGTACCCAACACCCTCATGCAGGGAAAACATCAGTGTACAGAAAAAAAAAGATGTAATAATTTGTGAAAATGGCTCAAAGGAAGAAACAAATAATATAGGAACAGAATTTATATAATTATATAATTTATATATATGTAATTATGGAAGTCAAGTTGATGTTAACTCAAAGCATATCATTATAAATAAAAGGCATAAATTGTAGTACCAAAGGTAGCTCTAGGAAAACAATTTTGAAATATATTGAATCCACACTCACGGTGTTTATTACAGTGTTATTCATAAGATCCAAGATAGTTAACCAATATAACCACCTATCATCTGATAAATAGGTTAAAAAAATATATACATACTACTTGCCCATAAAAATCATGAAATCCTGTCATTTTCAACAAGTCGGAAACTGGTGATCATTACGTTAAAAAATGAAAAAATTGCAGAGAAAAACAAACATTCATGGTATAATTCATATATAGAATCTGAGAGGTTATTTTATGTATGGAATTTTATGTTAGCATGGTGTGTACCGAAGACTGGAAAAGGCACGGGAGACAGAGGGATGGGGGAACGTTGATCAATAGACACTAAGTTACATTTAAGAAGGAAAGATAAGCCAGGCAGT